CCGTACTTAAATGGAGTTTCTTGTACCATCTGAAAAATTCTAAGATTAAGCTCTAATTGAAAAAGATGTTTTGTTTGTGATTAAGTTTTTGCAAAGTTATGGGGATTTGAAAATTGTTGATTTAGTATTTTTAGACAAAAACCTTGCCATATACTTCTTACCATTATCGCGTGGGCAGCAAATTTTTCGGGCTCAGAATTTGTTTTAACTTGATTTCAAATTTTTGTCACAACTCAATGGCTAAATTGACAATTTTCAAATCCAAATAATTTCACAAAAAAACAGTCACAATTAAATTGTCAGCTTCAGCTTGAAACCAGGTGATCAGTTCCGATGAGCTGGAAAAAAAAATAATCAGTCAAAAAAGGCTAATCAGATCCAAGTTTGTTCGGAAAAAAAACCGCAAAGATCTTAAAAAATTTGTAATTTTCTTTCGAAATGGGAATCAAAATTTGACCTTTTCGATTTCCCATTTTAATTTTGAACAAGTTTCAGTGCGCGATAATGTTTCGTAAAGTCTTCTAACTATTAAACGTCCAGTTTACATAGACTCAGGGGCGGATTTATGGGGCGCGGGCGGTTGCCTCCCCCAAACAGGGATTCGACCACCTGCCGAACCAAAGGGTACCCCATTTATACTATTTTGAGATATCCATTTTTGGCTGGCTGAACTTGAAATTTTTTTAAGGCACCTTTGGTGCCAATAAATACTAATTTTGAGGGAGGAGCGCGCGCCGAAAAAAGCATCATTTTCCAAAAAAGGCCTAAAAACGCTTTTGGACAGTTTTCTCAAAACTCTGTCTGCGGCGCAGAAAATGTGGCCTGACAGGGACTAAACCGTGCTTAGGCAGAGCTCGAAAAATCAATTCGGTCGACCTAAAAAAAGGTTGTCAAAATTTTCAAAATTTTTTTGAAAATCCGCCCCCGCACCTCAAGAAAATTTTAGATCCTCCCCTGCATAGGCTCAAAGTGGAAGGCGGAGCAATAAGCAGAATGGTCCAATTGCAGAATGGGTCCAAGAGCAGAAAAACTGAAAAATTTTGACTTCTAATATTTTATACGGGCTAATTGATAAAACAATTATTAAAATCGTCAAAAAATACCAAGAAAGCGAATAAATTATGCATTGAATTGACTAACTTCATGAAGTGTTTGAATATTTTTATTTTTTTAAATTATGGATAAATTACTCGCATTATGCATAAAATGTTTGTTGCTTTGGGATTATTGACATTTCTGATACTGGATTTACCGATTAGCTTACAAAAACTGATATTTTTCTGTTTTTCTGCTCTTGCACCCATTCTACTCTTAGACCATTCTGCTTATTGACTGGCCACCCTCAAAATTCATTTAAGGTAGTACATAGCGTTAAAACACATAGATCACGGGTTCTAGGACAACAAGCCGACGGAACTTCAAGCCGAATGGACTTTAAGACGAAATTGAAACTTTACAGGCACCACAAAACACTATTTTGTCATTTTTAAAACGTTTCTTTTCAAAATTTTCGGCAAGTTTGGTCCATAATAAGCGTTATTCATGACAATGCACCATTTTTGATTGGCATCCGTTAAGAAAATCAGCCGGTTTTTGAATTGCATAAATTATTAGCATGAAAAATGCCTTCTACCATGGTTTACTTTTCAACTTTCCGAAACATCATTTGGAGGCTTAAATTTTATGAAAACGCCAATAACTAATAAAGAAAGATCATGAAATTAAGAAAATCTTCAAAAAAATTTTAAAACTAATCATACTTTACGTCTTTATAAGTAACTATTCGGCTTGAAGTCCCTAATTTTAGTTCGGCTGAAAGTCCCGTCGGCTTGATGTCCGGCACCCAGGTCACGTTCGTTGAAGTAGATTATACTTGAGTTTCGATGCCCTCTCTGAAAACTTATTTTAGATTTTGGGCTCAAAAAACAAACCCACCCCAGCACAGGGCGGCTTTAGGAGGGGGCGGTGGGGCGGACGCCCCCTTCAGGGATTCGACCACCTGCCGACCCAAAGAGTCCCCCCTTTGATACTTTTTCAGAAATCCATTTTTGGCCGACCGACCCTAAAATTTTTATAAAGGCGCCTCCGGAGCCAATATATACTAACTTTGAGGGGGAGCGCGCGCCAAAAAAACGCGATTTTTTGTCAAAATGTTTCAAAAAGTGACCAAAAACGGCTTCTTTTTTGACTGTTTTTTTTCGGCAGAAAATTTAGCCCAAATAGGGGCAAAACAGTGCTTTGGGAGAGCTCGAAAAATCAATTTGGCCGACGTAAAAAAAAAGGTCGTCAAAATTTCCAAAAAATTTTTGAAAATCCGCCCCCTCGAGAAAATCCTAGATCCGCCCCTGCCCCAGCATATATATTCCCAACTTTCATCGATAATCGAAACAATTGAAAAACATTGGTGCCATCAAATGGAAAAATTTTCAATTAATTCATTAAAAGAGGTGTCAAAGCGAAGATGTTCTAGATGCAGCTATCAACATTTTCATTAGTGTAAATATGTTTTAATTTGATACCTAATCAATCAAATAATAATTACATTCATCATATTTAACATTTGTTGTCTCATAGTTAATTTAATATTTGTTCACTCGCTACTGTGCCCCGAAAAGCACCGTAAAACAAACTGAGTCTGCTCCGTTTGCTACAATCCAACATTTTGGCAAACATGCTGCTAATTTTCAGTTCGCTACGAAGTGACGCTTGGTCAACGCAAACTGTCATCTTGCTGACGACGATGATGATAATTGTCGTCTTTTTAAAGTGCTGCGAGTAATTGCTTTTGATAATTTTTTCTTTGTGAAGTCAGAGGAAATCGTGCAAAAGATAAAAATTTTAGATATCACCGGTGTTCGACCTCAATCGAGACTTTTGCTGGAAAAAGCGGCAAAATAGACAGCCTCATAACTTGCATAACAAAATTCATTTGTTCATTGTTTTAATAGCCATACTTTTTCACCAATTTCTATGAAAAAAACTTGGCCAACATACAGTAAAGGAGTCAATGATTGCAAGTTGACAGACAAAAATACTAACTTGTTTTTCCAATGTCAAAGAAAAAAATAGATGGTCTTAGAGCTCATCAAATTTTAGGAGCAATTTTTCATTGACACTGTTTTGACAAAATTAACTTAGTTTGAGAAAACTGGACAATTAAGTAAATTTTGATTTTGAGCCCGAAAAGTTTGTTAGTGTTTTCCTGAAAAAAAAAGAAAAAAATCATCTCGACCTATATAACAGTCCAAACTACTTTCATCGACTCATTAAAAGCATTGAAACGACGTGCCATTAACATTTTGAACTCTAACCTTTTGCAATTTCCCGATTAGAAAAGCACAACAGAGGATCCCACTATATGAATTTCATTAAGACGCCAAATGTGCTCTTAGAAAACTTGAGAGTGTGTGATTCAAAGTGATATAGTATGAAAATGCGCCGTGATGAGTCGCAGAGCTCTCAGTGCGGTTTTGATTGTCCGCCAATTTTTCTGACCAAATTCTAATCTTGATCGTTTAATACAGAGTTTATCTCTAATTTCCGGGAAAAAAGCCATATTACAAAAAGTTTTATCAAAGCAAGCTAAAAATTTTTTAAATGGTTTTGTCTGCAAATTATTGTTCCGACTTTCTTAACGAAAGTAACGGAACATTTGTGCTCGGGTGGGTTTTTTTTCTTCAGACAAAGTTCGACTTTTGAACGAGCCATTTTTTACGGAATTTTTGTTATCTGTAACATTCGCCCGGAAGATACATATCGACGGATAACAAAACTAAGTCTTAAGACGACTGGCTAGCGTCTAAACAGAGCTTTGCATGTTTTTCACCGTCTCTACCAAGCCAGTACTTTTCGGTGGTCTTTCTTACATCAGGCTGACAAAAACGTTACTGTTCTCCGGCTTCGACCAGAACGCTCAAATTAACTAGATTACATGCAAAAATAGTGAGCTCATGGCTGGGTCTCAGTATCCCCAGACCACGAGGTCACTCCTAAAAACAGGGCTACTACTTATTATATTACTATTGTTTTTGTTCAGTAGATAAAAATCATCATCTCCATCGAAGACGGATCAACCCTTTCCCCCCTACTTCTAGCTCCTCATTCTTGTCAAAACGAATTAAGATCTTAATTAAATTCAAGTCAGGACATGACGGATGCTAAAATTCAATATAAGTTCATAAAAGTCCACGTCCCGAGACCCTTCCGGATTCTTGAATCCGGTGAATCAAGCTTCTTAATATCCAGTTCACAATAACTCGGAAGGCTGGGTTTTACCCTTCACCGTTGCTCGCAACGGCCTTGCAACTATTGTAACAGCACAATAGTTGCAACTCGGAACGTCCTCTGCTGTTCGGTAGTTCGTTGTAGTTTTTTAGTCTCGATTTCGTACTGTTCGTAATCGCAGATAAAAGTTGTTCTGTTTTTTCTTGCTCTTTTAGCTAAAAATGGCCGTTTCTGACGTTTCTCAGAAATATGACGTCATAATTCGAATTTTTAAAAATTAGAATTCCAGAATCTTCTAGCCTTCACCGTTTGGCTAATCGTTCAAATAACATCCTTATCCGTTCTAAATCGCCAATTCGGAAGGCTTGCTGCTAAAATACCGAATTCTGCAGAGACTGCATTTTGGCCATTCTGGTCGAATGTCACAATCATTCAAAAAGTATTGTTGTCCTGAGCTTAAATTTGAAAACATATTTCATCTGTGACCATTTTTTGTAAAGTTATGGGGGTTTAAAGTTGGTCATTTTGGCCAATTTGGGACAATTAACGCGCGATTTATTTCGCGCTATTAACGCAAAAGCAGAGATTTAATCGGTTGGTCTTCAAAGTCGTTCCAAATTGGTTCAAGGAAGCTTATTTGCCATCATTGGTTTGTTAAAAGGAGCTAAATCTATCACTTTGTACTTTAAATGGCGTGTGGGGGAATGATTTTCTCAGAAAATCTCGAGTTTAGAAAAAAAATATTTTATTTTATTACATATAAATTTTTCATGTTATTACTGCTCCATAGACCTTAAAAGACAGTCGGAACATTCAGGGCTTCGACTTGATATGAGCAGACTTGTTGTAATTAGTGCAAAGATGTATCAGCAGTTTCAAGCAAATTTTTTGTATTTGATATATGTCAGTTTTTTTGTTTCAATCCATCATCATCTAAAATCAATTAGAAGTTTGGTCGATATAAGGCAGTTGACCAGTATATTCTATTTCCAAAGTCCCCGTCTCTACGTATTGATTAGGTGCCGAGGTTTCTCCCGCCTTCGACCACTCCCTGGTAGGGGTTTCCGAAGTCGTCGAAACAAACTTTCCCATCTCGATACAGCCCATAGGATCGCCAGACATCACTTGGTCAAAAACAACTGGCTCTTCGAAGTTTCCAGTGGGCCTGTACTCGTTGTAGGGGTTTTCGACAAAATCCGCTTGTTGGTCTCCCATTGGTTCTGCGTAATCGTTATTTCTAAAGAGACATTCTGACTAATGACAATTCAATGAGGATGTATTAAACAGCCAACAGTCGTGCAGCGAAAACAACGTGAACAAGTACAAAAAAACGTGAACAAGTCTGTTTTTGTCTTCAAACTTCCATGAAAAATTCTCGTGTTACCAGTAGCCTATTTTTTGTGACTTAAACAATCCAAAAATTGCAGCAAAAAGGCGTTTTTAGAAGACAAACATAGCCGACAGACAATGAACGCCATTACGAGAACAAACAGGCCAAAAACAAGTTTGTAGCGGAATCAGCGACTTGCTTTTCGTCTTTGATCTGCTGTTTTGGATTCCATGAAAAAATAATTAAAACACTGTTTTGCTAAAAGCTGCTACAAAATAGCCGATTTTGCCAAATCAGCGACAAACATTGTGGAATCCGGAACAGTTTGTGGACTCCCCGCACAAATCACATAATATGCGTATTGGAACTGGAAGCGAAATCTGCAAATTTAAGCGGATTGCGCATATTGTTAGCGGAATCCAAAAAAAAAACATAATTATTTGACAATCCAATTGGAATCTTATTTTTTTGCAGGTCAACCACGGTTTTTTCTTCCAAGCTTTTTTAACCAAGCTTTTTTACTATCAACAGTTTAACTTCAATTACTGCTTAAGCTTCAGTCTGCTTTAATCCAGTTCAAACCCACCAGTTAAATTCCATGTAGTGAAATAATGAATACCAAAGGAAAAAACACCTCTCCAATCTAAAACCATTGAAGAAAGAAACCAACTAAAATAGGCCAATTCATAAATTATTCATAACAACCTATCTTTCATTTTAGCTTGCCTTCATCGTAAAATCTTCAATTTAAACTTATGCAAAATTCTTATTGTTCCCACTTTCGATACGAAAGTAACGGAATATTTGTGCTCGGGTGGGTTTCTTTCTTCAGACAAATTTCGACTTTTTAACTAGCAATTTTTGACGGAATTTTTTTATATCATTCGAAAGGTATTGTTGTCTTGAGCTCAAATTTGAAAAATTATTTCACCTGTGATCATTTTTTGTAAACTTATTGGGGTTTAAATATTGGCTTTTTGGCCAATTTGGGACAATTAACGCGCGATATATTTCGCGCTATTAACGCGTAAGAGGAGAGTTAATCCGTCTTAGAAATCGTTTCAAATTGGTTGAAAGAAGCTTTTTTGCCATAACTGGTTTGTTACAAGGAGCGAAAATTATCCTTTTGTACTTTATATGGCGTGTGGGGGGATGATTTTCATTTAAAAAATTTTAAATTTACGAAAATTTTTTTTTTCATTTCGTTTTATTTCATTGAATTTTATAAAGTTATTACTGCTCCATAAACCTTAAAGGGCAGTCGGAACATTCAGGGCTTCGCCCTGATACGAGCAGTCTTGTTCTTTTTCAAACTCAAAAGTGATTAGGAGATCAGAGATTAGATCCATAACAGTTGGAAACGATTATTGTTTATGCAGCTAATGCTACACATGTAAGTCAGATTTTAGAAAAAAAAAACAGAACAAATTGATCAAAACGAACATAATATCAAGTCAACCAAAACTCGCACATCCCAAATAAGGAGTTGCTGAATCAATAGTTTGATGTGTGTTGTGACTCATTTCTACAAGGCACTATAGCCGGGCAAACTGTAACCATGCGGGCAATTATAACCGTTTAATTATTGACTTTAACGAAGTTTGTGAAATTAAAACAGAAAATCATTTTACTTATTTCTGTACAATTTGACTTTCTCACGTTTACATGTTGATCAACTAGGAATTTATCTTAATTCGGCTATATATCAACAATGTGTTTCCCAATTAAAGATTCCCGAAAAACGATCACATCGGCAATTTCAGTTGCAAAACAATTCAAAAATTGTTCGTGGTTTCTACTGAACATGGTTAAGTCCATCTATTAAGTTCGGCATCCGCTAAATAAAAACTTAAGCTCTAGCTTTAAATTGTTCATACGCAAGAACTGGTTTAGTTCTGTTTAATGCGGGTTCCTTTTACAGTTTTTGCGGATTCCATTTACGCTTGCGATCCAAGCATTTTTTGGCGAATCCGATCACAGTTGTGGAATCCAGAACAACTACCTAAAGTCGCTTTTTATGGACTACTTGACAAAACAAAAGTGCCAACAAAATATATGTAAAGGATTTTTTTTGTACGCGGAATTTATGGACTTTATGTCACTGGGATACTCTTACATTTTGGAACAAGCTTAAAGACTTGTCTCTGGATTTCACTGACATACAAACACCAATTTTGCGCCTATCTAGTGAACATTTTGGCCTCGTAATGGCATGGAAACAAAACAAAACAGATTTATTTTTTGAGAAACTTCAGTTTTCGAATTTCAAAGTAGAAATTCTATCGCCTTTAAGCTCTTTGGTTTTTAAAAAAAAACAATTGTAATTGACGGTTTTTTGATAAAATAACTCAATCTGACACAACTGGATCAATAAAAGAAGCTTTGAATCCTCTGGAAAATCTGATAATTGAAATCTGCTTTTGAAATTAGAAGTCGATCCTGTTTTTCGTGAGCTTTATATCTCGTTGATCGATAGTGGAGTTTGCTTTCCTTTTAAATGTCCCAGGAATTGAATTGAATTGAACTGAACTTGAAAACGCCAAAGCAAAGGATAAAAAACAAGAAAAATCAACTTTGAGAGTGAACATTTTTATGGCTTTTCCTGGAACAAAAATCATCATGAACCATATAAGAGTCTTCATCACGGTCATCGACTTTAAAAATGCATTATTGTATCCGGGTTTGTAATCTTGATTGCCTAATATTTTTGAAAAATTGAGGATTCCCTCTATAGTATCTTCTGAAGAATCTAAAACCCAATAAATAAGTTACATAAATTAGCACTAAGCCTTTCTGTTGAGAATTCTAATTTTTCTGCTTTCTGATTGGTCGAAAAATCAACAGTTTAATCCATTTAGCAATCCCATCCTTTTCTCGAAAGGGCAATTGTTAAGTAGGTCCCAATCGAGACATCGAGCTTGCATACAGAATAGCAAAATAGAGTGAACAAAATGTGTCATTTAAAAGGACAATTTTTTACTCACGGGAAGATTGGGTTGTCGTATTCCGCTTTTTGGGTTTCCTGGGCCTTGGTGTTACCACTTGAACAGAAAATCGAGTCACAGGATGCAAAAAAGACATGCTTGTCACTGCTCAATAGAATACAGAAAACTGTTTCATGCAATCAAAAATCAGTTTAAAAACGAATGGGATTGGCTGGAAATCGAATCGCATCCGAAAATTTTGCCTTGAGAATAGCCTGCAGTTTTGGTACCAATTATTCAAACGAAAAGCATGAAAGTTTTATTGATTAGTTTTGCACAATTCGCAGGATAAAGTACCAGTTTTAGCTGGTATTTATTTTAGAAGTTAGAAGCGAAAGAGGTTCATATAAAAATAATCTCTTGAAAAGCCCAACTTAGTCTTTTTAATAGATTTCACACCACGCAAGAAATGTTTCGAAGAGATTATTCGAGAAAATAATCTTCAATTCTGTTATGCTGTTCATGATTATGCTATTCCAATTATGCTGTTCTTGATAATAGGACGATAAAGACGATTTTTTCGCGATTTATCCACAAGCTCTTTACATAGAACCTGGTTAAAAATTACTTGCAGCTTTTGCTAGCCGGAAAACCCCATAATATAACCAGCAAACGACAGCAAAATTTACCTGTTGCAGGAACGAACAGCACAAAATGCCACGATTGCGACAACAAGCAGGGCTACAACTGCCACAGACACAATGACGATGATGACCAGAAGTGAAATTTTATCCTCGTTTGAAATTTCTTCTGCGAAACAGAAAAACATCTTTAAAACTTTGTGCATTCACATTTATTTATTTATTTTTGCAAAACGTTGAGTGCTGAAGAAGACAGATGTACAACCAGTAGCGGATGTAGGAGGGTGGGAATACTCGACCCCCTCAGATAATCGATGCCCTGACCGTGCAAAGGTCCCCCTTTGCTACTATTTTACCACAATATTTTTCAAATGCGCATTCAAACTTTTGCATATTCAAAAATCTATCAAAAATTCTAAGTGAACTCATGGAAAAGGACACTGATTCTTTTATTTGTCGTGACAAGATTATGATAGAGCTTGTTCTCCCTTTGTGGAATCCAAAACAAAAACTAGAGGCCCAGCTAAAGCCGGAAATACCTGTTTGATAGTTTTGATTTTGTTGTACTGATGCGAAATGAAATAGGTTATTTCAAAAATTTATAATTTGAGCTTCACCCGAAACCTTAGTTGTTGCTCTATTAAAATATGAGTAAAAATTTTTGGGATTTTGGAGTTTTCCGAGAGACGTATTTTTTTTGTACAAATTTTAAGACATAGCATCTCCTGTTGCCTCGATTAAACCCTTGATATCAGATTGAGCTGTTTTCGAGAAAAGTCAAAAAGTTTAAAAAAAACGGTCAAAAATCTAAAAATTGACATTTCTGAGGGTGATGACTTTTGCAGAAACCGTTCTACCCATTGAAACCAAAATCTCAGATTTGGAAGGGTAATTTATGAGAAAAGTCAAAAAGTTTCAAAAAAACGGTCAAAAAATCAAAAATTTGATTTTTTGGAGAGTCTTAATTTTTTGTACAAAAAATTGCGCGTAATTTTCTATGCAAAAAAACTTCTCACAACCCGTTCTACCTTTTGAATTTAAAATCTCAGATTTGGGAGGTTAGTTTTTGTGAAAAAGTTTCAAAATTAGTCAAAAAATCGAAAACTTGACTTTTCTGAGGGCCATCATTTTTTGTGCCAAAAAAATTGGACGTAACCACTTATGCAGGGGCGTTTCCCACAAACTGTTCTAATCCGTTGAACCGAAAATCTCAGATGCGGGTAGTTTTTGAGAAAATGTAAAAAAATCCAAAAATTTGGGTCAAAATTCCCCCACACACTTTTTCGAAGGCTGTAAAAAGTGGGGTAAGGTAAAATAGACTAGCGGATTATGCAGGCACACAGGAGAGTAGGCGGAATTTCCATTGGTACCACTTTTTTTGAAAATCGATAGAGTAGTTTTTGAGAAAAAGTATCAAAAAATAGTCAAAAATCGAAAACTTGATTTACCTGAGGGCCATAACTTTTTGTGCCTAAAAAATTGGACGTAGCCGCTTATGCAGGGGCGTTTCCCACAACCTGTTCTAATCCGTTGAACCCAAAATCCAAGATGCGGGTAGTTTTTGAGAAAACGTAAAAAAATCCAAAAATTTGGGCCAAAACTCCCCCACACACTTTTTCGAAGGCTCTAAAAAGTGGGGTAAGGTAAAAATATAGACTAGCGGATTATGCAGGCACACAGGAGAGTGGGCGGAATTTCCATTGGTACCACTTTTTTGAAAATCGATAGAGTAGTTTTTGAGAAAAACTAATTTTTTGAAAAAAGTGGAAGATTTTTCCAAATCGTCTCAAAAAAATGATTTAATAAAAAAAATCCGATCCCATACATTTCATAATACCTGTTTTTATCAAACAGAAACAAGAAAATTTTTTGTGAATTCCAAAACAACCTTTTTTTAATTATCGAAAAAAATTTAGAAATTAGTGACGGAAACGTTTCCCAATAATTCTGCTATATAATCCAGTTAACTTAAATAATTAATGTACTTGGAAGTGTATAGAATTCCTGCGTGACAGTATATGGCATCCTTTCGCCAAACAAGGATGGCTGCACTTCCAAAATGTAGCTGGAGT